AGAGAGAGAGAGAGAGAGAGAGAGAGAGAGAGAGAGAGAGAGAGAGAGAGAGAGAGAGAGAGAGAGAGAAAAGTCGCGTCCTAGCAACAGGCTACAAGCGCTTGCCTCCGATTTGTTTGCTGCTACGCGTCTTCTCTAGACTCTAGCTCGGACGCGCATACGTTTTACGCTGCACACCGCGGCAGGTGGGGACCACCGTTTGTGCCCAAGCTAGCGTTTCGATCAAAACAGGGTCCGCATCGTATTTAGCTAAATCACTACTCAATTTTTCAGTTTTGAATTGTTTTCGTAATTTGAGAATTCCATCATTACATAATAACAGATCAAAACTCAGATAAAATACACATAACCAAAGGAATTGCGTGAAATATGACGCGCATACGTTTCACGCTGCACACCGCCGCCGCAGGTGGGGCCACCTCTTGTGCTCATGTCGCAAATGGTGGAAACTCCAACCATGTATGTGAGGATAGTTCGCGGCCGTTCCCGACCTCCACCTGTCGGCATCTCCCTTCCAATTCCTCCTCAAGGCAAGAGGGTCCGCGTCGTTATCAGGAGCAGTAGATTACGACATCAGGAGTGCTGGAAAGGAATAACAATAACAGGGTACTATACCTTTCTGGCCTTTTGGCTAAGATCTAGTGTAGTATCTGTTCTGATCAGTTTAATATCTGATCCGTGGTCCATCGCACTTCACGGCCAGGAGGGGTCGTACGGGTAAGCTTGCTTACTCGGCCCCTCGAGTGTTGCCTCTGTATTGCACTGCAACAGAGTGCGGCACATCCCTTCCCCTCCACGGGGGAATTAAAAAAAAAAAAAAAAAAAAAAAAAAAAAAAAAAAACAAGGGTCAGCATGTCCGTTATCATGACTATACAGATACGAAAAGGCCTGGCACGGCTTTGCGCGAGTAAGGGGGGTCTCTGTGAAGGTGGAATAAGTAGGTGAAAAATTTGGAGGCTGGTAGCGTGGAGGTAATGACATTGTGAAGTGAAGGTGTTGAGTGAAACCTTCACCAAGGAGAACACACGGACTCGCTCACGGTTGACCCATTTTCTGTTTCTCAAATTTTATTTATTTATTTATTTATTTATTTATTATTATTTTTTATTTTTTTTCTGTTTTCTCACTTTCTTTTTTTGCTGTCGTTTCTGGTAAATGGCCGACGGCATTGAGGTATCGGCAACTGAAAAGGGAGCCAGGTACTTACCGAGTTATTTTATAGATCTGAATTCAGAAGGATCGGAGCTTGGGTTTTTTTATTCATCATCTTTTCGCCGAGTGTACCGTTCAGCCACGGGGGCTGCGCTATCGTTCATACTTGGTAACGACTCTGATGTATCCTTGTGTGGGAACCGTCGTCCTACCGACTCCCCCCGAGCATAACGCACCCTGCTAATGAATGTATACAAGCAAAAACTCAGGTCAGGTGCACGCGACATGGGGTTGCGTTGTGTTCGGGGAAAGACGGTAATACCGCCGGCAAACTCCTAGTTCCCGTTTGAAAACGGACTATGGGGACCGAGTGCAGAGCCCTGCATCATCAGAGCGATGGTGCTTTCTTTTTTCTTTTTTTCCCCTGCGCTTATCTTTTTTTTTAATTAATACGCCGGGAAACGGGCCCGGCGTCCCTTAGAAAAAATGGGCGGACTACCCAGTCGAGCACGGCATCACCGGCGGAACTCAACAGGGTGTCAGCGATAGTGAGCGATGGTGCTTTCAAAGACACCTCTGCGGGCCAATTTATAATTTGGCGGAAATTTGGGGCAATATATCAATATTTTCGCTTGAATTTGAGAATAAAGTCGTAAAAAAAAAAAAAAAAAAAAAAAAAAAAAAAAAAAAAAAAAAGGATAATGCACAGGGCAATTTGAATTTTTTATCTTGCCTCTTGGCATTTTAAAAGGAAAAAATGAACCAGAATTAACATTCTGAAGTGAAGCTGGGTAAGGCTCCCAGTCTGTCTCTTATACACATCTAGATGTGTATAAGAGACAGGGATAGTGAGTTAAAAAAAAAAAAAAAAAAGGATAATGAATTGTTAACATGTTGCTGAATGCCTTATGGCCGTTGCAACGACCGGGAAAGTTAGAACTATGGGCGTCGCTCCACTAAACAATACTCTACATGCATTTGGACGTCTTGTGAACCAGGTGCGCTCGGACGAATCCCACATGTAGAACGTATTTGTCCCAGAAGTCCTCCAAATGCATGGAGAGTGTTATGTGGTGGAGCAAGGCCCTATGGGCATCGCCACACCACTCGAGAAATCTGCAAAATGAGAATGAATTTCCTGGTCGAACATGGCCGGATGCACCCACCACATAGGCCTATGTCTACGTAATAATATTATTCAACGCTACAAAAGTTCGAATCCTGTCCTGATGGAAACGAATGAAATGGAAAAGGAAAGCTTGCAAGCTTAGCTTTGCCTCATTATCTGTACGCGACAGTGTTTACGGCCGGACCTGGATGCATCTGACCCGAATTGCATCCATAATAAATAAATTTAGACGTCCTCTTGTAAGTATGCCCTAAGTCATCCTTATTCTATGCGGCCAGTCCTTCGGGACATCCGTTAAAATTGGAACGATACAGAGAACGAGGATTAGCATGGCCCCTGCGCAAGGATGACACGCATCAATCGAGAAATGGTCTAAATTAAATTAAAAAAATAATAATAAAAAAAAATCTATGGGGCTGGCGCCTTACAAGTTCTTCTTTTTGGCGAAACTACACGGGAGTACCAAAAATGAGTTTTAATTGCACTATGGGCCAAGATACAGTTTCAAATTGCAGTTCTGGCAATGTATACAACCCAGCTTTCTGCCCAGGTAGCGTGCCCCAAGTGCAATTGCACACTGTATCTTGGCCCATAGCGCAATTATAACTCGTTTTTGTGACTCTATTGAACTTACCCCTTTTTTTTTTCATCGGCTTCGATCCGACGATTCGAGTTCATCAGTTGTTTTCCTGTATTCATCGTCTTCCATCAGAGGATTCGAGTTCTTCACCATGGGCCTAGCTGCACTACTCTTGAAATGCACAAAAGACAAAAATCATGGCCGTGTATCTTTCCATATTCTAGCGGAAGATTCACTCTCGTTTTGCACATTTCGAGAGTAGTGCAGCGAGTTCTTCACCATGTTCCTCTCAGATCCAGGGGTCAAGGGCAGGTCTGAGCGATATATTTTTTTGAGCCTCATTCGGACGAAGGGGTTGAAGAGTGACATGGATTATTAGGGAGAAGGAATCCGCGAAACATTGGCAGAATCGAAAGCCTTCTGTTCGAGCCATAGCTTTCAATAAGGAGGGCAGCAATCCCTTCGGTCCTTCTCCTCGTATCATGCTCTGTTCCGCTCCCGCTTCGCCTCTTATTACCCTCCGCTCTGCTTCGGTCATCTCCGTCACCTTCCCTCTTCCCGACCACGGCCTGAAAACTGCGCACATGCCTACATTGCCTAGCGGGCGATCCGAAGGACTTCCCTATATTGCTTGCCCCTCCCTCCGTTTTATGTTGCCCTGTTTGCAAGTTTGTGGAAGAGGAGAGCCGGCAAGATTCTAGCGCAAGCATCCCCTCTCTTCAGGCACTCAAGGAATACTCGTCATCGTAGACCTGTGCGCACAGTTTCTTCTTCTTTTTTTTTTTTTTTTTTTTTCTAAGTTGTGCGGGTTGGAGACGGCCTTAGGGGGGTCCTTGTCGCACGGCCATCGAGGGCAGCCCCGCCAGACGGGCCAGCGCGCCGAGCCGCGCAGATTCACGAGGCACTACTATCCCTGCCCTGTTTGACTCTCACCATCGCTGATTATGTTGATCTTCCGAAGTCGCTTGTTCGCCTCTCAACATCACTGATGATGTTGTTCTTCCTTCTTAGTAGATTTCAGCTATGTCTGTAGTCGTGGTCGGTTACACCGACAGAGGACGTGAAAGTTGATACGCTTGTGGTGATGAGCTGCTTGAGACCGGGGAAGGTGATGCACTAGTGTTAACGAACCTGCAGTTTTTTGTTTTCTGTTTTTCCCGAAATAGGCTATGGCGCCGGACTTTTCGTAGCAATTTTCTTGGGGTACCCGAACCTGGCTTTTTGCCTAACTTCAGTCGTTCATTTCTGCAAAATAAGGTGCAGCCATCATCTCGCGCGCTGTCTGGCAGCTTGAACCCTTCGGGGGGACTAACAACGAGCATATCAAACAGAAAGCGTGCGAATGAGACTATTGCAAGCAATCAGGAGTGGATGGAAACAAAAGAGGGGCGTTCGTAAATAGTCAGGACTCAGGGGCCGTGGTTTTTCTCATGGGTCTCGTTCTTTGCGCAGGGTTTTTGTTGTGAATTCGCCTAAAAGGGGAGAGAAGAGCCCCAGGACGGGTCAAGCAACGCGCCTGCAGAGGGATCTGGCATGCTCGGGTCTGAGCTTGTGCTCCTGCCGTGATGCTTCCGCGAAAAGTGAAGTGTTTGACGTGACGGGGGTGAGATTGCGTGACAGCACGAGTTGCACCTCGAAGGCTCGAACGCGTGACAGCTCTGCTGCCAGCCGCATAAGCTCTCAGGGGTCCGCTGTACAGGCTTAGGAGTAGTGGTAGGTAGGTAGAACGGGGTGAACTTGAGAGAAGCATATAGCTGAGATTTGAAAAAAAAAAAAGAGGCGCTATTTCGGTCGTTCGATTTGCGTATTTTTCCTTTGATTGTTGAGTTACAAAGCAAGGGAGATGGTAAGCGAGGGTCGAGAAATGGTAAGCGAGGGTCGCCAGGCTGTGTCCACGAAGTTAGTTAGATAATTGGATACCGTGGGGGGCGAGAGAAGCATTGCGCGGTTGTCGAAGACCGAGACAGTCTCTGACAGTGTTATAAATTGTCTGCTACATCAACGGGGAGAAACGCTAATTCGATCGTTGTGATTTGCTTATTTCACTTTCGATTGTTGATATCAAAGCAAGGGAAATGGGAAGCGAAGGTCTCCAGGCGGTGTTCGCGAAGTAAGATAATTAGAAACCGTGGCGGGCAAAGAGAAGTATTGGGCGGTTGTCGAGGACAGAGACGGTCTCCGACGGTCTGTGCAAATTGTGTGCTAAATCGAAGGGGAGAGGGTGTGGATAACTGCGGTGAAAAGGAGGAGGAGGAGAAGGAGGAGGAGGAGGAGGAGGAGGAGGAGGAGAAGGAGGAGGAGGAGGAGGAGGAGAAGGAGGAGGATAGAGAGTAAAAGGAAGAGAAGTAATCAGAGGAGAACGAAGATGGGAAGAGCGCAGTTGCGGAAAGAAACTTCGTGCGGGGGGACAACATGGATGGTTGTCTGAGACCTATGAAGCCGTCCAACACTCGCACAAGGGAAGAGCTGGGTAGCGCGGAGGACTGCCATCAGGAGTAGGAGGAGGAGGAGGATAGAGAGGGAAAGGAAGCGAAGCAATCAGAGGACGAGGTGGGTGGAGAGAGCGTGGGCGCGGAAGAAACGTCGGGCGGGAGGACAACATGGATGCTGGTCTGAGACCTACGGAGCCTTCCACCATTCGCATAGCGATAGACCTGGGTAACGCGAGGTTTCTGCCCTCAAGAGTAGGAAGAGGAGGATAGAGTGACTGCCATCAGGAGTAAGAGGAGGAGGAGGATAGAGAGGTAAAGGACGAGAAGTAGCAGAGTATAAGGTGGGTGAGGAGAGAGCGGGCGCGGAAAGGACTTGGGGAGGAGGACATCCCATAGGGAGGGAATAAAATAGGGCATGGGTAAGGTCACGGCAAGACGAGCCGTTTTTCACAATAGGTGCCAGGTATAAGTGCTGTCATGCATGTCGCTGAGGTATCCTAACAGACCGAGAGATGGTTGTCTGAGACCTATAAAGCCGTCCAGCACTGGCATAGCGATGGACTTGGGTAGGGTGTAGGACTGCCATCAAGAGTAGGAGGGGGATAGAGCGAAAAAGGAAAAGGAGGAGCAGAGGACAAGACAAGGTGGGTGGAGAGAGAGAGAGAGAGAGCGGGCACGGCAAAGACTTGAGCGAGGAGGAGGACAAAATGGATGGTTGGCTGCGATCTATGAAGCCGTCCAGCACTCGCATCGCCATCGACTTGGGTACTTCTTCTTGTGCCGCCGCCGTTTGGCGCGATGGCAGGGTTCATGTAATACCCAACGAGTTCGGCAGACTCTCAACCCCCTCTGTCGTTGCTTTCACGGACAAGAAGCGTTTCTTGGGCGAACAAGCTCAGAAGCTAGTTCAGCGGCGAGCGGAAAATGTGCTGTTTGAGGTCAAACGACTGATCGGGAGGGAGTACGATCAGATAGCAAGGGGTAGAGATCTCAGGAGCTGGCCTTTCAAAGTCGTGAAAGGGGTTTCCGGAGAGTCAAGAGTTGAGGTCAGCAGTGAATTCCTGTCCTCGCTTCTGAGCGAGGATAGAAGAAGTGTCCACCTTCACGGCGATGGCAGCAGCGAAGCGGACCTTTCAGCGAAGGAAAGGACGGTGTCCGGGGACCCATCGACCGCTTCAGTGCCTTCGCATCTGGGAACGGAGCGGATCGGCGTGCCGACCCTCCCGCCTCGTGCTCTCGCCGGCCGACTGAACCCCCCCGATCGTCCTCCCCGAAACAATCCCAACAACCCGCATCCTTATCGAGGAACACCTTCCGAGGTAAAGAGCACATTCTTTGCGCCGGAGGAGATTCTAGCGATGCTGTTGGCCAAGATGAAGAGGCTCGGTGAAAATTTCCTCCAAGCCAGCGAGCTGAACGCGGCGGCAATTACCGTGCCGTCTTGTTACAACGACAGGCAACGGGTGGCTACGAAGTTGGCGGCGGAGATTGCAGGCTTCACTGACGTGATACTTGTCGACGAGGTCACCGCTGCTGCGCTATCTTATGCTCATCACACGGGCATGATATCGCATGAAACAGGGGGTCGTCTTGAAGCAAATGGGAGTGGGGGTAGAGGAGGTGGTTGGAAGATAGTCGTGTTCGCACTGGGTGGAGGGAGCTTTGACGTTGCCCTGGTCACCATCGCTGATGGAAGGTTGACAGTGCACGGAGTTGCTGGCAATCCCAGTCTCGGTGGAAAGGACTTCGACGACAAGATAACTGACCTCATCATCAGAGATTGCACTAGGAAGTATGGTCGTAGCTCACAGATGAGTAGAGGTACCATGCGGAGGTTAAAGATCGCCAGCGAGAAGGCGAAAAGAGATCTGACGCTGCTCAGCGACACAAGCATCGAGATTGAGGCGGCGTTCGACGGCGAGGAAGACATCCAGATGTGTTTGGAGAGGGTGCAGTTCGAGGAAGCTTCGGAGAAGTTTCTCGGAGAATGCACGGGAACTGTATACGAACTCCTCAGAGAAACTCAGACTAGACCGGAGGAGGTGGACGAGGTTGTGCTCGTCGGAGGGTCCACGCGCATTCCCAAGATAGTCGGGATGCTGACCGAGATCTTTCAAAGGGACCCTGTGCCCCTTTTCCACCAAGACGAAGCAGTCGTTCGCGGTGCAGCTCTTCTCACGGCGTTTGGAGTTCAGGTCTGCCATACCAGCCCCTGGGGTATAGTATTTCTTCACCCGGAGGGAAAGCCTAGTAGAGCTAATTTCGGTGCTAGACCAGAAACTTTGAGATTAACCCTTTCTCCCAAACTCTTTTCTCGATCTGAATGGAGAGAGACGGAGTGGCATACGCTGCTATATGAGGGTAGGCCTAGCTCCAGACAGTTGATACCTGTGGGTGCGTTATTCGCTACGTTCGAAGATGAGGCGATGTCCGAGAGGTTCCAAGATGAGGTGGAGTACGTGTCTTTCGAGCTTGAGTTAGCTACGTGTGGAGTGCTTGGACTACGGGAAGTGCAGTCAAACTTCAAGAGCGGGGGTCTGTCATTGGTTAAATATTGGCAATCACCCGTCGAAGAGGTCAGTTCATGGAAGGAGCGCGCTGAGAGGCTGATTGATTTCGAAAGGACTTGTGCGCAAATTAGCAAAGCGAGGCATCGTTGGCAGAAATACACCGCCGAAGTGGCTAAAAGGGAGACTGGGAGCCCTGATTGGCTGCGGTCCGTCGTATGCTCTCTCAGGCTTGAGGTAGACCAGTGGCTTGAAGAAGCAGAGCAGAAACAAACGTGGGGCGCCGCGGAGTTTGAGTCGCGATTCGAGCACTTCCGCCGCGTGTGCGGACTGGCATTCGGGGAGATGTGGGCGCGGTCCATTTCCAACAGGAGGTTCCTGGTCGTCGATCGATGGAGTGCAAATGACTTCGCCCATTGTCTGCAGAATCTCGCCGGCGATGGATGTGGCCAATCAAGCCACAGGGCGTCCAGCGGTAGTAGCAGCGGCGGCGGCGGGAAGTCCAGATTTGATGCTGGCCTCTGCGATCTTGTCGTCGTTTTGCCACATGACAGGTTTCCCGACACAGAGAAACAGGTGAAAGGGGCGTGCGACGGCATCGAGGTAGCCGCACCTTACACGATGTCGCCGCAGCGTCTGAGAGGTCGAGGCGCTAGCTACGTGGTTGTTGGAACTGAGGGCGAGAACCCGGATTGGAACGCAAACATTGGCCGACAGGTGGCCATGGCTGTGCATGCGGGACTTCTCGTCGTACTGCGCATCGAAGGACGCCCTCCCGCTAATCACGAAGACCTCTGGGAGCAGGAAGGCCTTTCAGACCTGGAAGAGGAGAGACGGCACTGCCGAGAACAGCTTATTGCTGTAATACGGGAGGTTGGCAGGGACTGGAGAAACGTTGTCCTCGCGTATTGCCCTCCCTGGTTCGACATGCTGACGGTGGAGACGTCTGATACCGACGAAGGAGTCGACATGTCTCTTCTACTCAAGCATGTGGTGGGGGTCGTTCAGCATCTACGACAAGTCTTAGCGACTTCCATCGATCCCGACGCAGCTTCAGCCACGCGCATCATCTTTGGGGGCGGGGGCCACGTAACCGACAGAATCTGGAATGAGCTCACGAAAGATAAGGACATCGACGGGTTTCTTCTTGATCACGCACTCCGAAGCGCGGATGTCATCAACAGAATAGCTCTGCCTCGATGGAAGAGCACTGGAAAGCTCTTACTGTGCGGAAAGATCGACAAAGTGAGCGATTTCAAAGAGAACAAGCGCCGGAAGGCCGTGATGTCTGTTGCACAAGCCATCGAACAGAGCGGACGTGGTGTGGTCGCCACCTTAGCAATCTGGTCGTACAAGCGAGCGCGAGTCGAAGGCATGTGCAGGGCAGGGACTTACATCTTCTGCGAAGAGGGCCTCCGAGCGTGCGGATCACGAACGGGAGGCGCAGCTTGGAAGATGGAGATCATCCCAGTTTCTGGTCCCTCCTTAGACATGGGACAGAGTTTGATGGCACTGGACGATCAGTTGTCTACGATCAAAGAAGACTTGGAGAATACAGATGGAAGATGGGAGGAGGTGGTCCTAGAGTACAGGCACGCGATTGGTGTGGAAACTTCTGGCAGTAGTCTTTGCAAGGTCGTGGATCGCGCTCTTAACCGGATGAGGAGATGGCTCCTCACGCATGTGAATCCAACGACGGCAGAGGCGGTTCGGATCATCTACTTCTTGGACGAGAACCGAAAGCTCGACACGTTGCAGGACATCGTGACGTTGCCGAATCTAGATGGGGTGAGCTTGAGGCTTCAGTAACTTGGGGGCTGCTCTACGGAGGAGGAGGGGGAGGTTAGGGCCACGCTCCAACCCTTGTTGATTAGACAAACATGGCAAGCCTCAAGAAAAAGAGGCCTCCGCTTCTTTTTTGTGAGAGGTAGCTTTATCTGCAGGGTTCTCGTGTATGGGCTTACGAGTAGCGGTAGGTAGAAGGACCCTTTCTCGATTTATGCACGTCATGCCATCCTTTTTTTTTTTTTGTGTGTGTGTGTGTGTCGTCCTTGCGCAGGGGCCGTGCTAATCTTCTCTGTATTATTCCAAGGATGTTCCCAAGGACTAGTGGTAGGCAGGTAGGATGTTCCAAAGGACTAGTGGTAGGCAGGTAGCAAAAGTGATTGCTCTGTCATCTTTTCTTTTTTTTTCTTTTTTTTTTTGGTCGACCTTGCGCAGGGGCCATGCTAACCTTCTCTGTATCAGAGCCTCGTTCGACACCACTTGAAAATACTTGAGTTTCAAGTGCACACTAAACGAGAAATTGTGATTAATTTACACTTACTCCATTTATGGTTCCATGTGCACTTGAGGAAACCCTTGAACAGGATCTGCACTTGAAACCAAACTCTACGTCTTGACCAATCCTGGACCAGCATCGCCTGCTGGAAAAAAAGAAAAACAAAAAAAAAGGCCCCACTTGGAGTGCTGGCCGTATCCGGTGGCACTTGAACTCAAGGTACCTCAAGGAGGTGACTTGAATTGAAGGGCGACTTGAATTCGCCCTTGAATTCAAGGGTGATTTTGGCTGTGTAGCCCTTGACCCTTGGGCCGCAAAAAAGTGAAAACTAAGGGATGATTTCTCACTTTGCTCTAAAACTCAAGTGGTCTGGAACGAGGCCCTCATTCCCAAGGATGTTCCCAAGGACTAGTGGTCGGCAGGTAGTAAAAGTGATTGCGGGGGGACAAGAAGGTCAGAAAAGGGAAAACTAGGGTACAGTCAAGGTTTTCAGGGCATACTCACACTAGCACACATTTTCATAAAATCGTAAATTCTAGGTGATTTGTTGGGTCACACGGGCTACGTTTTCACGCAAATGGGCACGTAAATGTCAGTGGCTTGGACAGCCGCCGGGTTAAATATTTTGCAGGAACCTCTGGAGCATGGTCCCACTAGCAATGGGATAGGATAGAAAAGAGTTTGTGTGGCAGTTGAGTGACCCAAATCCTGCTGTGCAGTACTCGTGATCCCAAGGTCAGTATTTTATATGTATTACCCGAAAAAGTAAGGAGATCTTGGTTCCCCTTCTCCTCTTCTTAACACTGGCTGCACTCGTGATCCCACTGTCATATGTATTACTGGAAAAAGTAAGCAGATCTTCGTTCCCCTTCTCCTGTCCTTTACACTGGGCTTGCCGAAGCTTCCCGCCAAAATCTTTTCAATCCGTTGGGGGTATGGCCGACCCCAAAAGAGAGTGGGGTCGGCCATAGGCCCACTGGATAGAAGATGTTCCGTATTTTGCTTGCTGTTGTGCAGGTATCTCATTGGGTGGAGCCCTCCTTCAATCACGGATTATATAGAGGGCGTCAGGATCACTGCTGACAGAAGTTGAGTTTATTCCAGAAAATGTGGCAGTTACTTTGTTCACTGTTGTTGCAACCACCACCATCAGATCATTTGTGATCTGATTGCTGGGAAGCACTCTGCTGTGATTTCAGGTGGGAGGTCTCTGTTTCTCTTTTTTTTTTTTGCCTTTCTCCTGTTTTCTCACACCAGAAATTGGTAATGAACCTGTCAGGCCGCTGCCACTCAGTGTCACACTGGATCGGCCACACTCCTATCCCACTGCTAATGGGACCTCCACAATTGCATATTCGTTTTAGACCTGTTTCTTTCTGGAAACAAAAAAAAAACAATTCTACTTTTGGTCAGCAGCTCTGGGAAAAAAAACAGGAAAAAGGGATGGATTTTTATGCATCGTGCTGTGTGACCCCTCGGCCCTTATAATCGTATTCCTAGAGCAGGTGGAGACTGTGTTCTTTCTGTTTTGTGGTGTATACGGGTGTGCTGTGTGACTGGGAAGGCCCGTATAAACGCAAATTGCCTCTCGTATAATTTGCTATTGTATGTGCTAGTGTGAGTATGCCCTCAGCCACGAATTTTATTCCAAAGTGAGGAAAATCGTGAATGTATCCAACCCAGCAGTAGGGTTGGGTGGGGATGTGTTGTATTCGGGGGACCTTGAATTTACATCTGAGAACGTGACTGCGCCCAAGGTACCCCAAAAAAAAAGTTGTCATGAACCCATTACCAACCGGCCTGCTGCAGGGCATACTCACACGGCGACCCCAAATCCACAAAATATGCGGATTTGGGAAGGGCCCATTTGAGGTTTTGGGCATGGTTCATGTCACACTGCTGTACCTTTTCAGATGGGACAAGGTCGCAGCCGTCTGGAGAAATGGGGATTTGGTACTTGGCTGGTCACACTGAAATCACACTTCTGATTATTCAACTTGTCATGTATGCAAACAGCGAAACAGCAACTGGCGACATGCGCCCACACAATACTCAAGATATCGTAACCAGATATGAGTTCTCTTCAACTGGCTATGGCGACTGGGCGCCCACACAACTCACTGTTCGCACTCTGGATCACCCTGGATGTCCCACACGCAACACTCAGTATTATACTTCACACACCACACATGCTAGGCTACAGCTATGGCAGCGCTAGCTGCTACTACCTATCGCTGCACTCTACTCCTCTGCCCACTTCGTCTTCGGGCACTCTGCAGACCTCCTCGCACAAGCTGCTAGGTAGCGCTTCCGCATGGCATCCGCRGGAATSAATGAATGAATGGACGCAGCCTCTTGATTTATACTTYTGTGCTGCATTGGTCTGCCTTGTGTCCCTGGCCCATGGTGCACACAGTTCCCCCCGTGGTACTTGCTGGACCGGACTGGTACTTTCTAGACTCTCTCCAACATGGGCTTACTTTAGTCACACCACTTGCCCACTTGCCTGCACCACTTGACCACTTGCCTGCACCTAACAGGGACTGACTCCGAAAGGCCACTTCTAGAACTCTCTAAGTTGGCCTTTCGGTACTGTAGCAGCTAYGACTTTGCCCTTTCAGGTAAGTAGCAGCTACGACCTTGACTCTTCAGGCAGTCTTCAGCTACAACTCCGGAACTGTCTAGACTTCTACCCTACAGGTCTACARTTCGATTCCAGYCTATCCTGTGCCCTACGACAATCTACCTACCACTGGCGGTTCTACAGGTCGCAGGTTCAACTCTTCGAGTTGACGTAGATATTATACACAGGTAAGTTTGGGAACTAGGGATCAAGCCCTGGGATCTGCCTCAGCTACCACGAATTGGTGAATACCGTTTCACTCCCGCCGGCCTAAATTCGAGGTCCTCCGAGAAAATTTCAATCCAAGGCAGGACCTTTACCTTTCTGCTGTCTTTCGTAAGCCCGGACTATATCGGGAGCTGTCTCTAGAAGTTCAGATCTTGTGAACCAGCGGTCGTCTTCCGATTCCTGATAGCTAAAGTGAACCTTGTACTGTTTCTGTGGACGACCCCTACCTCCAGTCCTGAATACATCTTCAGCCACTATTCCATCAATGTCGTATCTTCCATCCATGTCCGGTGGGATCATGGACATACGGGATGGAAACTGATCACTCGTTTGACACGGTAACAACTTTGATGCGTGGAAAACTGGGTAAGTGTGGAGGTGTGCTGGTAACTCTAAGGTATAGGACGGTCCATCTTTGCCGCCCTTGACTTCCAGAACAGGCCACGGTCCTCTATATGTGGGCAGTAACTTCTGCGAGATGTTCTCCTCAGGCGCAAACTCTTTCGAACTAACCCAGACTAAGTCGCCTACTTGAAACTGTGAARAGCGACGATGTTTGTTTGCTTGTTCTATCATCCTATGCTGGGCTTTCCTGAGGTTTTCTACAACAGTAGCTAGTTCTTTCTCGTGCTGTACAGCGAACTCCCGGGTCCCGGGCGGCAATCTCTGAATCTGGTCCCGGTTGAGTCCCTCAAATGGTCTTCGTGGTCTAAAGGACTTGTGCAGTTCGTTGGGAGTGCGGCAGGTGGCTAGATGCAYGCTGTTATTGTACGCACTAGCTACTTTAGGCAACATCTCATCCCAGTTAATCTGATCTGGCCTAATATACACGCGCAGAACTTGCTGCAGGATCTTATTCATTTGCTCTGTCTGACCGTTAGTCTCTGGATGGCGGCCAGACGACATCAACAACTTAGATCCGTATATTCCCATGAGTTCTTGCCAGTTCTGGCTAGTAAAGCGACTATCTCTATCGCTAACTATAGACAGCGGGATTCCGTTCTCACTWACCCAACAGTCAAAGAACCTCTGTATGACTAAATCAGTACGCGCCTCAGAAGGCAAAGGAACAAAAACTGCGTACTTGCTAAAGCGGTCAACTATGACCATGACTTGGCTCTTGCCATGCCTGCTCTTGACTTGAGTGTCCATGAAGTCTATTGACACCGAGTCTCCCGGYTGATCCGGAATGGGCAAGGGTCTGAGAAGACCTAACGGGGCACGCGTAGAAGACTTGTTACGCTGGCAGACCTTACAACTGCGAACATACTCTACGCAGTCATTCTTCATCCCTGGCCTAACGGGGCACGCGTAGAAGACTTGTTACGCTGGCAGACCTTACAACTGCGAACATACTCTACGCAGTCATTCTTCATCCCTGGCCAGGTATACGCGCGCATCAGATTGGCTAAGGTCTTTTGCMAACCAAAATGACCCTCTGTGTCATGGCATTCTCCCAGGATCAAACTGCGGATCTCTTCGCTATTRGGGATGCACAATCGGTCAAAAACATCAGTCTTCTCAAAAAGCAACCTTTCAGTAGTGCGGTAGTTCGGCTCGGTTTCTGGGGCCTCCTTGACTTTCTTAAGGAGCTCACCATAGATAGGGTCCTGCACGTAGGCTTCTCTAACCCGCTGCTGCAGATCCTTTCCTATATCGAGGTAGTGTACTAT